TAAAATTCCAAAAAAATTATATTCTCCTCAAAATATGTCCTTTTGGAGGTATGATTTTTAATTAATGACAGAATTAGTATGGTAAGAAAAGCTGTAGCTGATGCCATAAAATCAAATTCTTTTTAGTCTTGTATTGAGTGTCATCAACAGAAGATGCAACTATAACAAAAGAAACAGTGACCAACACCCAGAGCTCTTCACAGTTCACTGTGGAGCTTTGTAAAAATACCTGTTACTGGGCCCAATGCCCAGAGAGCTTGGGACCAGAAATCTATATTTCTATTATTTTAAAAACAGTGTTTATTTATGTATTTAAATATATATTTTTTAAGTTGTAGTTAATATTCAACACTGTATTAGTTTCAGGGTATGGCCTAGTGCTTAGACATTTACATAACAATATTATTGACTCTATTTCTTAAGCTATACTTTATATCTCTATGACTATTTTGTACCTACTAATCTGTACTTCTAATCCCTTCACCCTTTTCACCCAGCCTCATAACCCCCTTCCCATCTGGCAACCATCAGTTTGTTTTCTGCATCCAAAAGTTTGTTTCTGTTTTGTTTGTTTATTTATTTTGCTTTTTAAATTTTACATATAAGTGAAATCGTATTGTATTTGGTATATATAAAGCACATGGTAAACACAAACCAAAAAATCTGTAACAGAGATACAAGAAATAAAGAGAAAGAAATCCAAATACAACACTACAAAAAGTCATCAACCCACAAGATAAGAGAGCAAGGGAATAGGAAAGGAACAGAGAAGAACTACAAAACAATTAGGACAATTAAAAAATAACTACTTACCAATCAATAATTATTTAAATGTAAATAGATTTAATGCTCCAATCAAAAGATGAATAGGTAAAGAAGAGGTGGTACATACATATAATGAAATATTATTTGGCCATAAAAAAGAATGAAATCCCATTTGTGACAACATGGATGAACCTAGAGGGTATTATACTAAGTGAAATAAGTCAGATAGAGAAAGACATGTATACTTTTAAAAATGCCACAGGTGATTACGATTTTCACCCATGGTGGAGATTTTCTCAGTGACTGTAATTGCTTTGATGTGAAGGGGTAGTCATATTAACAGCCGACCTTAGCATGGAAACTCATCAAAAAAGAGGCAGGCTATTAAAAACATAGATGGACCTACAGAAAGTCATTTCCCTCACATTCTTCCTTCAGTAACCACTATTAGTAATCGACATTTTAAAATTAGGCTTTTGCTTTAGTCAAGAGAAATTCCTGCCCTATATAGAATACTAACTGATCCGAAAGGCCTATCACGTAGGGTGGTGCAGTTATCATTCCTCACTTATGTAGAATATGAATTCTAAAAGAGGTCACAGACATCATCCAGTCAGATCTACTTTGCCCCCCTTACAGACAAAATTCAGAAATTAAAAAGCAATTTGTTTAAGGCAAAGTTTGGGAAAACACACACACAGAACTTCAGGCTTAGTCCAGTGGTATTTACTGAACAGAATGCTGCTGTCTAGAGAGGAGACAAAGGCTCCGGAACGTGAACTGCCACGCTCTTTGAAAGATTATAAATATTTAATGTGTGTGTGTGTATGTGTTATATTCATTTTAAATTAGTTTTTGGCTTTTTGGATGCTCTGACAAGAATAAAGATTCATCTGACCATGATGGCCCACACATAGGGGTTCTGACTATATTTTGGTTGCATGATAAATAAGGTACAAACCCTGATGCCATTCCTCATGTGTGAGAAAGGGAGTTAACTAAGTGCCATGCCCTGCGTGCAGTTTAGAAGGGTGGCTAGGGAACCCTGAAAGACCACACAATTCCTAAATCATGGCTTAATCATTGTTTATTAGAAGTCTTGCCAAGGGTACATCAATCACTCTCTCTGATTGCCCTCTGACAGTGGGAAAGAATATGAGCCAGGCATCTGTCCTGGGCCCCTTTCTCTGGAACTCCCATTGATTGGAGACTCCTACAAATACAAACCCTCCTTTTCTGTGGACCAGGGAGAAAAACTGAGGGGCTAACCATTGAGTGAAATGAAATGATGAAGCTCTAATTCCTGTTCTCTCCCAATGAGCACACTGAGACCCAAAGGTTGACTGACAGGTGGAAGAGAATTTAGATGTGGTCTTTTGCTCCAAGGTGTTACCCAGGTGTTATTGTAACTACAGGCTTGAAAGGTTACATCTAAGAAACCCTTGATTCAATTAAAATGACTAAACTAAGAAGCTTTTCCCCTGAACCAAGTGACAAATAAACAGGTAGACACACATCAGATGAAAATGATTTTCTCAGAGACCATGCCTTCCTGTGTTTCTGACTTATTAGCATATAGTAATTATCATTGGAAGGGAAAAAGAGAAGTTTTGTTTCTCCTAGAGAAACAGTCTAATCTAGTGACTAGTAATCAAGGCTTTGGAGTAAGCCTTCCTGGATTTGAGTCCGGGCCTCATTAGCTGTGTGTCATTGGGCATGTTACATCATCCCTCTGTGCTTCAGATTCATTACACTGTACACATTTGCACATGCATGCACACACCTGCTCTTACAGCACGGTACTAATTAAGTGACTTAATGCATAAAAATAACTTAGAAAATCATCTAGTAAATAGTGAACACTCAAAAAATTGTTAGTATGATCCTAATGATATAAATATTATTAAGGGCTCTGTCACCTTTACTGCTTTTATTTCTTCTATTACAGTATATTGAGATATAGATTTGGCCATCCCTGTGCCAAAGAAGGGTTTCTGAACTAACCAATCTTACCCATTCTAATGATGCTTGCTTTTGCTTCACATGAAATAATAAAAGTATTATGCAGTTAAAAACCATCTTTATATAATCACATGGATTCCAACTTGTATTCAGCCTGAAGGGAAAAATAGCATGTTTGTAGCAAAACCACCTGGAAGAGTTATTATTCTCCATACTGTTGGGGATCATATCCCAGATGCTTTTTGATTCACTTCCCATGTTATGGTTTTGCCATCAGAAAATAGTGATAGCAGACTGCAAGGAAGCTAAGTTGGTACATGCTAACGAGGAATGCAGGTAGGATGTACATTGTACTCTAAGGGAAACAACTGAGGCGCAGTGCATAGCCATGAATGTGTGAAAGAAACTTAACTTGTGTACTATGTTCAACTTCATAGATGTGTTTAAAGTCTTCGAAAAGAAAATAAGTTAAACATTTTCTTTGGAAGCATGGAGTATAATAGATATTCGGGGGGTGGGGGGAGTTGTTAAATTTCCTTCTCAAGTAGTTTATTAGTGTCTTTGGGGGATTCCCATTGGATAGAGAAAAATGTGTCAGTGAGAGGCCCTCTCAGAGGTAGAAAGTTATTTCTGGCACCCAAAGAAGAACACTTTGGGTGGGATAATTAAAAAGCTCTGTTGGTAAGAATGGGAACAGAGGGTCATGGAACAGCAGACCTCTATACTCTGCTGTTCACTTTAATAATCCCAAAATACCAGCACCAGCTAAACGTCCCACCTGGCAAAGCTCTTCCTCTTTTGCTCATTTTTGTACATTGGATGTCTTTGCAAATCTGATAGAAATGAAAAATACTCCTCCCAGAAAAATGCACACAAACACACTCACACACACACTTCTGTATATTAATTTGTGGTTCTCATAGATGCTCTCATGTAAAACATTTTATTTTTATCTTCAGTGATAAAACCAATTAACTTTTTAAAATAGATTTGACTACTTAGTTTCCTTTTTAAAAAATGTATTATTTAAGATCCTGACTTGTAACTTTCCCAGCAGATTTTAGATCTTTCACTTGTTTTGTTTTACTGTGATCAGCAGTTTCAAAAACCTTTGTAGATGTTTCTGAAACACTTAATTTCTGGGGAATTTTTATTTGTGTCTGACAGGAAAGTGCAGTAGGCATAGATGTATGCCTTCTTAGAAATATTTTATCATAATTTTATGAGGAAATAAGCAAAGACTATAATGTTATTCCCACATTGGTTTCTATTAAATAAACATTGATAACCCACAGAGTCTTGATCATAATTCAGACTCTAACCCCAAAATATATTGTTTGGGGAGAAATTAATGTACAAATGTACAGAGCTACTGTAGCCACAGAGGAAAAACTTCCAAAATATGGAGAGAAAAGCCTTTTAAAACTCACCCTCAATGGAGACATAAACAACAATGTTGACAAGTCAATCAATATATTTCTATGTCTGTACCTTATATTTTAAAGTTGGAAAAAAACTTCCTGAATATTTGATGTAAGAATTTGGTTTGAAAAGGTTTGACAATTAATGTAAAGCTAGCCTTAAATCATCTTTTACTCTTAGAGTAAAACCCTTATGAAAGTTTATGATAGTTTACAGTAATAATTTATCATCTTATTTTTTCCTTGAATTGCAATCATTACAGACCAAGAGCAGTTAAGTGTATAATAATTTATTATGGTTGCATATCATTTGTCACATATAATAAATTATAGAAACTATAACATCTTTATAAACTATTTAGAATACCATATTCACTTCCTAATGCTCACTGCAGTAACTGTAAGACATTTAATTAGATTATACTTTATCATTAGGAGATAAAAAAATTATAAATTTTTTCACAGTACTTTGGATATCTGCAGGACCCATTATTCTAACTTTTGTGCAACCACTTTGAAATGCATAAACAGCCTTTAAAACCAGAAGGTGGCGTAGGATTTTACTGAGCTGCTGAAGGTACTGCAGCTCCTTGACTTTGTACTGACACCCAGGTGGTGTACTTTTCAGGCACTATAATAAATGCAAATAAATAATCAATTACTGATCTCTAAAAAATCTATACCAATAGACAACATTGAAGCTTGGAAACACCTTGAAAGTTCAAATTAAAAATTCAGTAAACAATTGGAGCATGATATTCTCTCTCCCTGTTATCCCCTCCCTCCCTCCCCCCACCTTGCTCCCTCTTCCCAGTTTGATTAAAGGGAAAAAAAAAAAAAGTTCAGGTTGAATTTAAGTCCTAGGGCCTGACAAAGAGACCCTGGCGGCAATTCTTCCTCAGGTATCTGTTTCTTTGGTTTCAGTTCTCATTATATCCGTCCAGACTCTTCTCCTGACACCAGAATCAGTCCTTTCCCGCCGGGAGAGTTTCAAATTCTTGCTGAAAGCATTTTGTTCTCCGCTGTCACAGCACAGGCCTGGAATGGGTTGCAGTCTTTGTCGCCAGTGTGCTCTGTTCCTCTCCAGCCTCCGGACTCCTGGTGGAGGAGAAGCTTGCAAGGAGCAACACAGTGCTGCATGTTCGGGTCTCACAAACTCCCTTGGTCTCTACATGTCCATTCTTGGATTACGTCCTTATCCAGTCTCCTGTCCTCAGTGAACTTTGATGGAATATTTCCGCAGTTTCAGAAACTGGAAAAGCTTGTCTTTCGTCCTCTTCTTCAGGGCCATCAGGGCCCGTGTTTTCTCCTCCAAATCTTGATCTATGGCAAAAATGATCTTAGCTCTCTCCTCTGCTTTCTTGTCCCCAGAGTTTTTGAAGAGCCTCTGTAGTGATTCCTGGTCGATGTTTTCAAAGATGTTGCCCACAGCTTTCTTACGCGAGGCTGTGTCGAAGTGGTAGCCGTGGATGGACGGGCTGACTCGCAGCGAGGTGGACATGGTGATGGCTTGGCGGCTTGGATTGGCTTTCATAGAGATGAGGGTCTTCGGGAATTCAACTCCCAGGCTCTCCTGAGAGTCTGTAGCAAAATCATTTCGGGACTGCTATTTAAAGCGTGAACAAAAGCTCCAGGCTCAAATTACACTGGTGACATCAGAGTGATCTCAAGGAAGAATAATCACAGACAGGTTTAACAGTTGAGTTGCCAATATCTTGTTCTTGTGCAAAATGTTACCAAAAGCTGTGTTCAGTGATGGGGCGTGGAGGTAGAGATTTCTTTTTACCTCATCTGTGGCAACAGGATTATAGAGATTTGGGCTCTTCTTTAGAAAAAAAAAAAAAATTGCTGAAAGCAGGAACGTGCAAAGATAAGACACAAACTGGGTGGCTTAAACTCTCACAATCTTTCTAAACAACTGAAACAAAGGTTCTGCTAACACACACAGCAAAGTTATTAAAGTGTACTCCAAACATTTGTGCCCTTTGGACATCGCTACCCAGGGCCACTCCTAAACTTCAGAGATAGCTGAACAATGAAGGGCATCCGTTTGGAGCAGGTCTGACTGTGGAATGGGAGTTTACCTACGAAATGCTGACATGACACAGCCCGAAACTGCCCTTTCAGGGGCTGTGTAAGTGCTACTCTGCGTTCACTGAGTAAACGTGGAAGTTAATACGCTAGACAAATCCCTTAGGCCTGTGAGTGTATCAGCAATGTATTCATTTTTAAAAGTAGAAAAGGTAATCAGGTGCTTTATGGACACAGTACTCAAAAGGAATGCTTTGACTTTTTCTTTTAATATTTATTTTGGTGTCACCCAGACTATAAACCGACACCTTCTTTGGAAGTGTTTAAGTTTGTTCTTTTCACCTTCCCCGATGTTTAGCCAGCCTGGATCCCCACAGATGTGTGGGGCACTTATTTTCAGCTAACTGCTGTATGCCATCTTAAAAGGGCTCCAGAAACTTCTCTTCATAGACCTTCTGCCTGGTCCACTTTCTAATACTCCAAGAAGCCGGTCGGGTCTTCATTGTCCTCTCATCTAGTCAAATCTGATCTGGAAAATGCCCAAAGGGAGAGTGTGGGGAGGCACCACACTAGAACACTGAGTTAGCCATCCTCCTTATATATTAATTCACTCACTTATTCATACTCTCATGCCTTTATTTACCAATAGCTATTAAAGGACTACTTTTACCTACACCTTTTCTAGGCCTTGGAGATATAACAGTAAACCAAACTAAACCAAATAAACAAGACGAAACAACCACAAAATCCCTACCTTACCTTAATGGAGTTGACACTTGGAAAATAGATAATAGAAAGATGTCCATTTATAACATAGATGATGTCAGGAAATAATAAATGAAGCAGAGTTGTATAGGAGAGGAAAGGAGAGGTTGAAATTTGCATAGGATATCTTTCCCTAATGGGATATTGTGCAAAGCCTGGAAGGGGGTAAGGGAGTGAACTGTGTCGGCATCTGGAGGAAGGGTGTTGTAGGTGGAGGAAACAGCAAGCACAGAGGCCTGAAGATAAGAGCATCGGGAATGTACGAAGGACAGTCAAGAGGCCACTGTGGTCGGAGCAGAGCGGACAGAGAGGAGGGGGAGGAGGGGAGGTCAGGGTGAGCAGCTGGTGGAAAGAGGGCAGAGGCAGACTGAGTACAAACTCAAGCTTTTTCATGGATTTAGCTTTTACTCTGTAAGAGATGGGCAGCCTCTGGAGAATTTGGGGCAGAGAAATGACATGATTTTACTTATGATTTAAAAAATCACTGACGCCCTGGCCAGTTTGGCTCAGCGGTTAGAGTGTCGGCCTGCGGTCCGGAGAGACCTGGGTTCGGTTCCCGCTAAGGGCACATAATTCGGTTGCAGTTTGTCCCCGGCCATGGTTGGTCGTGCGGGTGGCAGCCACTCGATGTGTCCCTTCACATCGATGTTTCTCACTCTCTCTCCCTTCCTCTCTCTCTCTCCCTCCCACTCTATCTGTACAAAAAATGGAAAAATATCCTCAGGTGAGGATAAAAATAAAAATAAAATAAAATAAAATAAAAATCACTGACGTTTCTTTCTAGAGAAGAGGTTTAAGGACATGGGGAGCAAAAAGACTAGTTAGGAAACTCCCGAAATGACCCAGGCAGGAGTGGACGAAGGCCCCTGAGGGAAGTCATTGTGCAGGTGGTGAGAACTCAGGAGGGTCAAGTCAGAAGGGTTGCTGAAGGCTCCGATGTGAGGAGTGAAACACTACAGGAGCCCAGGATGATCTCCTCGTGAAGGGTGCTCCCTTGAAAGGCGTTTCTAGGTGGGTTGATGTTCATCTCACCCACCACGGCAGCTGATACTTGCTGCAGTTTTTCCGTGGACGAACCTGTGTTCTGCTGCCTGTGACTATGGGTTTTCGGGCATGTGAGGCACACCTGGGGACAGCACATCTCCCACACTGAATACAAAACACACTTATATAGCAACAAGGATGTTTGCTGTTTTTATTAAGTGGCAAGAAATTTACACAATCCATCTTAATTGTTGTCATACTCAAGGCTTTGCCGACCTTCCCATGCTCTGCTCGTTCTTGAGGTGATTCTTATGCTTTTGTCTCCAAATTTTAAATGCCAGCTTACTTGTCCTCTGAGGTATAGACTCACTTATTTGACTAATTAATCAATATAGATATATACAAATAAGATACTAGTATCTGTTTAGTTAATAAAGTTCGGAAGTCCAGCTATAATCTTTGATAGCTCTTTTTTTCTTCTCTTATCTAATCCACACCTCCCCCCCCACATGTATTTATATTAACAAGGTCAATTCTATCCACAGCATATTTTTAAAATCTATTCACTTTTCATTTTCACTGACATTATTTAGGCAAGTCTCCACATGGTGGATGCTGGGACGCATAACCAAGAACTCCCTGTAAGATTTCCCAGATGTTCAGCTGTCAGCCCCCATCAGGTTGCCACCATTGACCAAGGTCACCCCCCTTCCTGGTGCACCTGTATTTAGTGACTGATGGTCATGAGGACATAGAAGCCTGCACCCCTTCTCCAACTTGGAGGGGTCATGCACACTTCAGAGCATCCTTTAGGATCAGCTGAGAGCTCCCCCCCGCACCCCCCCCATCCAATCCTGTTTCTTTCCCACCTGTAGACATAGATCCCAAAAGCACTCCATAATAAATCTCCTGCCTCGTGATCCCCACCTTGGAGTTTGCATCCTGGGAAGTCCAGTCTGAGCCACCCCATCCTCTCTTACCTGGACTAAGACCATTCTCTACGAAGCATTCAGAACAATATTTTCTTTTTAATTTTTTTTTTGTGTGTGTGTGTCTGGTACATACCCCTAACAGGAACCGAACCCAGGACTCTCTGGTCCGCAGGCTGACGCTCAACTTCTGAGCCAAACTGGCCAGGGCCAGAACAATATTTTCTTACAAGCAATCTGATCAGAACACTCTTGCTATTACTTTTAGGATAAGCCTCCAAATCTTAACATAATCTTTTTGAGCATGACCTGCTCTGGTCTCTGACTACTTTTGGAGCATCCTAATTAGCCACTCTTCCTCCATACCTGTATGTCTTCCAGGTCCTTGAATGGACCGTGCTCATTCCTGTTTGGGTCTTTGAACACATTTTTCTTCTTTATGGAGAGTTCTTTATTTTTTATCTCAGCAGGTAACTTTTATTCATTTATAAAATGTCAACCTAATGCTACTTATTCAGAGGTCTTCCCTCATCATTCTATACTAGATCGGGTCTCCTTGCCAATGTACCCTTTACTGTGCCTTAGTGGCACTTATTACAGATTTCAAACACACCTTTATGTTTATGATTACTTGGAATCTATCTCTACCATGCTCTGGCTTGTTTAGCTCAGCAGTCAGAGCGTCAGTTCGCAGACCAAAGAGTCTCGGGTTTGATTCCAGTCAAGGGCATGTACCTCAGTTGCAGTTTAGTCCCTGGCCCTGGTCAGGATTGTGTGGAAGGCAACCGGTTGATGTGTCTCTCTCACATCGATGATTTTCTCTCTCTCTCCATCCTTCCCTGAAGATAAATGAAAAAAATAACCTCACGTGAGGATTTTAAAAAAATCTATCTCCACCAATAGCAAGGATCAGATCTACTTTTCTCATTACTGTGTCTAAAGCTCCTGCATTACTAAAATGTTATTGTAATAGTGTTAAATAACAATGTATATAATTCTATTTAATTCTCATAACAACCCTATGAGGTTGGAACTACTGTAATCTTCATGTTACAAATAAAAATTTGAAGCAATGACAGTTTACTCCCTAAAATGTCCATGTTCTAATTCCTGGAATCTATAAATATAGGCAAAAGGGAACCTAATATTAAAATGTGAGGGACTTATGGGGCAAAGAAATTTTACAGGTGTAAAGAAGTTAAAGATGGGAGACGTGAAGATTATCTTGAATTATCTGGGTTGCCCTATGAATTATAAGAGTCCTTAGGAGAGGGAGGCAGGAAGTCAGAGGGGAGAGGAGATGTTCAGCTGCCAGCTGAAAATGAAGGCAGAAGCCAAGAGCCAAGGAATGCAGGCGACCTCTAGAAGCTAGAAAAGGCAAAGAAAGTCTCCCATAGAGCCTTCACAGGAATGGAAAACTGCAGGCCCGCTTTAGACATCTGGCCTCCTGAACTGTAACATAATAAATTGTGTTGTTTTAAGCCACTAAGTGTGTGGACTTTTGTTACACTGGCAATAGGAACCTAACACACTCTGCAAATCCTTCAGCTACAAGAAGACAACTTGAACCCAGGGTTATCTGACTCCAAAGCCCATGATTTTAAAGTCTGTGCTGTGCCCTGGCCAGTTTGGCTCAGCGGTTAGAGCTTCGGCCTGCGGTCCGGAGAGACCCGGGTTCGGTTCCCGCTAAGGGCACGTACTTTGGTTGCAGTTTGTCCCCGGCCCTGGTTGGTCGTGCGGGTGGCAGCCACTCGATGTGTCCCTTCACGTCGATGTTTCTCTCTCTCTCTCCTTCCTCTCTCTCCCTCCCACTCTATCTGTACAAAAAATGGAAAATATACTCGGGTGAGGATAAAAAAAATAAAAAATAAAAAAAAAATAAAGTC